ATCCAACCAGGTTCTCCATTCCCCTTAATAAGGCCTGTCCCCTAAAGAAACTGTTTTACAGGAGCCTAACCAACAGAAGTTTTACCAAATCCTAACCAACCTGAACAAAGAATAATATCCACCCAGCATGGTGGCCCAGCACTCAGGGAACAGAGACAGGTGAATCTATAAGTCTGAGGCCACACTGGTCTACAGAGTGAGTTCCAGTAGAGCCAGGGCTACACAGAGAAACCTTGTGAAGAAGGAGGAGGAAGAGGAGCAAAGAGGAGAGAGACAGAGGAAAAGAGGGAGGGAGGGAGGGAGGGAAAGAAACAAACCTAACTGAGGCACACAAAGCGACTGAGACCTGACCACAGGCTGTCTTCTGTCTGTCCACAGTCCACGACTGTGATGAGATATCTGAGATGAACAAATTAATGATGGGAAAGTAATCCCCAATCCGCTGACTCCATTGCTTGGATCTCTGGCATCATGGTGATGGAGGCTGATCACCTCCCTGAAGCCAGGAGGCAGAATTAAAAAGGGAGGTACCAGGGTCCGTACACACCCTTAAGCACCTCCTCCGTGACTTAGCTTCCTTCCACTGGCCTCTACCTCCTAAAGGTTCTTCCATGTCCCAACAGAGCCGGTCCTGATCTAAATGCTAACTTCTCCCTAACGAATGTGCCCTCTCCACCCCAGTGACTAGCAATTCAACAGGACTCCTATGCACTTGTGGGATTAGAGGGGGGCTGTGCACAGAGGGCACTACATCTTCACCATGTCTAAGAAATCACTAGGAAGACAGAATCAAGAACACCTGAGGCCATTTTAGCCAACTGATATACCACCTACATCAAACAGTAAATTCAACCCAAGCCAATAAGTATACAACTTAACCCCAAACCCTATCCAACTCAGGGCCTTTTACGTGCTATACAAATTTAAGAAAAATTACAGTGCATTAAGAAAGGAAAAGAAACAGCCTAAAAACACAAAGCCAGCGTTAGAACCAGGGCTCCAGAGAGCAGAGATGCTAGAGGACCAGTCTGGTAACAGAAAGCAAGGAGGATGAATGTGCAACAGCTGCAAGAGAAAATGGACATCACGGAAGAACAGCTGGGCACCTAAGAGAGAGGGAGGAGCCTGAAGAACAAAGAGAAGCACTAGGAAGCCAGAGAGCCGGGGGAAATGAAGAGCCTTGGGTGGCTCATCAGCACAGCGGACCAGGCCTGGCTGAGCTCATCCCTGAATTCAAAACTATATGAATAGAACGTCTTAATCCGAAAAGAAAGAGGAAAGATGGCCCAGCATCTAGGCTGTGGAATGTTTACAAAGGGCGGAACCTGTCTAGTGGGAATTCTAGAAAAAGAATAAGACAGAAACTAGTGATATATTTGAACTAGTAACAGATCTTTCAAAACTGAGCTTGGACACTTAGACACCTGAATAGAACGCTCGGGGCACACAAGGCACGATGCAGAAACCCTACACTAAGAAGCATCCAAACTGCAGGAAACCAAAGACAAGAAGGAAACCTCAAAGAGAAGAAGATGGGAAGCCTTGGCCTGTATCAGAGGAGCTATGGAAAGCTACACCTGACTTCAATGCAAGCGGCGAGAGAGTAAAAGGGAATATAGTGGCCCATCAACCTGGGATTCCCTACTCAGAGAGACTGCTCTCGAAGTACAATAGACTTTTCTCACAAAATTGGGTGAAAGAAGATTTCAAACGGAAGGAAGATTAGATCAGAAAAATCAGATGTGAGAGAGAATAAATGAAAGCAAACAGAGACTCCTGTTTCTTAGTTTTAACCATCCTAACGCTTAACAGCAACGACGCGTATGGAATGGCACCAATGTCATAAAGAATGCCAGGGAGGACTTGGAACACTGTTAGAGTTTGCACCATGGCCCTGAGGCCTGGGTGGGTGGCACAGTCTGTAAAGAATTTCCCATGCGTGCATGAAGACCCAAGTTCAGCTCTCTAGCACCCACAGAAAAGTTGTGCATGTGGCGGGAGCCTGTCATCCAAGTGCTGGGGAGTCAGACAAGAAGGCCCCTTGGGTGTGACGGCTATTCTAGCCAAATCCACAGGCCAGATTTAGTGAAATATATATGGGAGCAACTGAGGAAGACACCAACATTTTGCCCTCTGTCAGCCACCCACATGTACACACACACACACGAGCTTGCACAACACACACACACACACACACACACACACAGAGAGAGAGAGAGAGAGAGAGAGAGAGAGAGAGAGAGAGGAAAGTAGACTTAAAGCAGTTATAAATACACTGCAAATTCGGAGGAAAGCACTAATTTTTTTTTTAAAGAAGTACAGTTAAGATCCAGTGAGATGGCTCAATGGGTAAAGACATTTGCCACCAAGTCTGATGACCGAAGCATGATCCCTGGGGTCCACATGACAGAAGGAGAGAACAGACTCCCCTATGTTCTTCTCTGACCTCCACATACTCACTTTGGCGTGCACACATGTGCTCACACACAATAAATAATGTGAAAAACGTTTAAAAGAGTCTAGGAGGAGACCAAGTGATGCAGGATTCCCCTCTGTATGCTGTGAATATGTTTGATTGCCATTGGTTAATAATGAAGTTACTTTGGGCTAATGGTTTAACAGAGTAAAGCTAGGCCAAAAAAAAAAATCTGAACAGAGATGCAAAGAGAGAGTAGGCAGAGTCAAAGAAAGGCCATACAGCTGACGAAGGAGACAGACGCCAGAATCTTACCAGTAAGCTACGAGCCTCGTGGCAATACATAAAATAATAGAAATGGGTTAATTTAAAATGTAAGAGTTAGCCAGGAATATGCCTAAGCTACTGGCCAAGCAGTTTTCACTGGCTACTTCACCCGCCCCATCCAATGATTCTGTCTGTGAGGGTGATGGGCTTGTGTCCCCCTTGTAGGCAAAGAACTGGAGATTTCTATAAAGGCCCACAGTCAGCAAGTGCTGAGCCAAGGATTTGTTCTATGCCTGGGTCCTTCCTCTACCATGTACTTTCTTTAAAGCCACAGTGTCTGTTCTGTGATATTTTGTTATGGAAACATGGGTTTTTAAACGTTGAGTTATAAACAAAAAATTTCACTGAGTTTAAGCTCTCAACTACAAGTCATTTATCTTGAAAAAACATTCCAATAATCGAGTTGTTTTATTACTACATGAATGTGTAATTGGAAGCAAAATACAATAAACTTCTTGAGCAAAATAAATGAAAATCGTAAGTCCTGAGTGACATCTCAGACCTCAGTCAATGAGATTCTAATCTATGGCATAAACAAAGCACAACACAGCAATAAGACGAAGGCTGAACTCAAAGTAAAAGGCAGAGTTCACGCTGCATAGGGCAAGCAAAAGAAATGGAGCCCGGATGCCACCGGCTGCTCCTTGGTGTATTCTGGGGACCCTGGTAGTAAATCCTGGCTGTGTTAAATTAGGAGTAATGCCTCTCCCACCGACTGTGTTTCCCTGACTGCGCCATTGTGTGGCCCCCTGTTTTCTTTATGAACAATCCAACTGTAGAGAGGCCTGAAATGGGGAGGGAATTCTTATCCATGATGGCAGTTAGAGAACCACTCGGGTCAGATTTTTGGAGGGATAGAGGACCCACTTCAGAGGTGACCACAGCAGGTGTGTGTCTGAGGCCACAAGGAGGCCCCTAGGTTGCTTTATTTCCCTGGACTTTAAACCATCATTCCTTCTGGATGAGCGAAAATCATCCAGGTCCGGAGTCATCTGTGTGCAAACATGGGTAGACACTTGGAAAACAGTTGTTCCGACCCAAGCAGCCTCGATCAGATGAGGAATTTGAAAAACAGAAATCTTTTGTCAAAGCAAAGTTCCAGCAGCTCAGAAGGTGTCGAAGGTGATGGCGAGGGTCTAGGGCGGGAACTGCCCTGGAGGGCAGAGCTCCAGCAAAGCCAACCATGTCTTAAGTTTCTCCAGCGCCCAGCAACCTTCGGTGATTATGTAACAATCCTAGCAATGAAGGCGCAGGCGATCTGATTTTTTTTTGCAGAGGAACAAACTAGAGAGGATGTGTGATTCACAGCTAGCATCTGTCAGAGTGAAGTCCCCGAGTCCCGGACTCCAGAGCCAACAGACCGCCCACCGTGATTTTGCAGGGCAATCGAAAGACTGGATTTTGCAAGCTTGATAGCTTCGGAGTAAGAGGAGCGGCATTTGCCCATCCTGGATGTCACACACTTTACCTGTCTAGACGTTGAGTGGGTTTTTTAAAACCTTATTAAGTATCATTTAGGGCAGCAGTTCTCAATCTGTGGGACACAACCTCTATCTTCAAATATATTAATATTACGATTCGTAACAGAACCAAAATTACAGTTATAATGTAGCAACGAAAAAAATTTTATGGTTGGGGGTCACCACAACCTGAGGAACTGTATTAAAGGGTCACAGCATTGAGAAGGCTGAGAACCGCTGCTTTAGGGGACAGGAATCTGAAACGGTTTGTGACTACCTGCCTAGCCCACATGAGCCCACTACCTGCCAGCCCCACAGAAGCTACCTGTGGAGATACATGCCTCTAGTCCCAGCACTGGGGAGGTGGAGGCAGGAGGATCAGGGATTCAAAGTCATCTTCATCTACACAGTGAATCTGAGGCTAGCCTGGGCTACTTGAGACTTTGTCTCAAAATAAAGAAACAAACCCACTAATTTCCTTGTCTGTAAAATGGGGTCCCTGTACCCACGAGCTCATGGGTAAAATGATCTAGGACTAATGTTGAGACATCAAGGTATCTTCCCATGGACTCTGGATGAAGAAGTCTCCTTTCCTCCTTGGCAGCATGACCTGAGGCACAAACTCCCCAAGACACAATGATTGTATCTAAAGCTCCAGGAGGTTAAATCTGAAAACTCTGGGGCAGCCTGCGAGGGTTTGAGCTGAGCACTGGGCCGAGGGCAAGGGAAGGGAAGGACCAGCTCATCTTTTCTCTCCTCTCACGTTGCTGGCTGAACCCAGGAGCCCTCCATCTCACCTGGAAAGCCATGCAGTTGGCGGCAGCCAGAAATATCCTGAGAGGCGGCTTGGTCTTGGAGGACTTGTGGCTTCACAGATGATGGGCACCGGCCGTCACACCCAGAGAGTCAGGAGGAAGCAGAAGTAAGCTGCAAGACACAAGCAGGGACAAAGTTCAACCACTGTCACCAAACCTTTTAGCTGCCCCATTTTTCCCTCCTGAGTAAAGATTTATGGGAAACAGTGTCCATCCAGGGAAGATGCTGTAACAGGAAAAACCAGGAACTTAAGACGATGCAGCCATTTATTTATTTATTTATTTTGTTGGGCAGCATTCCAGAACTGGGAAGAGGCAGAAAGAACTTTCTGGAAACTTTGACTTACTTTCCAGAGACTTTAAACACCATTTTTCCTCAAGAGCAAACAAGCCCTTTTTTGCCTGATCTTCCTTCTGGTCTTCATGCAAAGGCTCAAGCAGTTTAGTGCACATTTGCCTTCCCAGTTTGCCTGTCTGCCTGCACTCCTGGAAGTGGGATTACTCTCCTTCTCCTCAGTTCTGTAAGTGTCCTAGGAAGAGCATGTCTGTGAGCAGTGGGGCCAGGTGATGGTTTCACGAGCCCTGGTTTGAAGGAAATTAGGGCAGACTTAACAGCAGTGCAGCGACTGAGCCAACTGAATGAAGCTTAGACTGACCATAGGGACTGTGAGATTCGTCTACTGGAGACCTAGAGATAAAAGAGGGCGGGTTGGGGTGTTGGGAGCTTTGGAGACCTTACCGCCTCTAATGTTCATCACAGCCGTTACTTTCTGTGCTTTTTACTCGAGGGTAGTGGTGGTGATAACAGTAGAGGAGGTAGCGGTGGTGATGGTTATTGTGGTGTTGTTTTGCTCTTTGTGTGGAGGCCTATGCTACCAGTCGATGGTAGAAAACACACAGGGATCCAACAATGATGATTCCTAAAATTATTACAACTAGCTCCAATGACATTAAAACAATATGTCCGCTGGTATTAACTATTTTACCAGAGTTATCTTGATCATGTTAAGCAAGTCTATGGGCTTTGTATTATTACTAGTGCCATTTCATAGATGAGAAAACAAAGACTCACAGGTATGACTTTTGGTTCCCACAGTCCTGAAGATGGAACCTGTTTGCTAACAGTCAAATTCAAGTCTTTCTGAGCCAAGAATGAAGTTCCTGACCAGGACACAACTGTTTGCTTGGAAAGCATCGAGTAAGTGTTATCTTTAATCCTGTATGCCTTGCTGTTATAAAGTGAGGAAGCTCACTTCTACATCTAGGGAAGAGAAAGTCCTAAGACAGGCTGTAGGAAGGTGGTCCCTGTACTTAGCACTGAGGGCCACCCGGAAAGAACCACTGGGCTGTGTGCCAATCCCCACAGTGGTTGTGAAGAGTCCCCAGGCAGAACGGGCAGTCTGTGTAGCCTTTGTGTGGGAGAATTATGGTCAATGTACATGTTTAATAGTAACGTTCCATCTTACAATGTTACATCTTACAAAACTTTAATGCTTGACTGATCTTGATCTCAATCTACATTTACACAGTTCAGAAAGCAAGATTTATCCTCAGCCCCGAGACAGATGAGTTCCCAGATACAAGTGGCTTCTATGAACTTGACAATTCATTCTTTACTTGAGAGGTTAAAAGCAAAAAGGCTGTTTAGCAGCCTGCCCATGAGTCACAGAAAAGGAAGGAAACAGACATCTTTGCTCTCCTCTGCTATTAGAGTGCGACCTTGGCCATGTGCCCATGGACGGAAAGTCGCTTCTCACGTCATCTTTGGCCTTGGTGTCTACTGCGAATTCTTCAACTGCCAAGTCATTGGGAGAAAAAATCTAGAATGGAAAACCTCACTGTGACTCTACTCAGCAATAAACTAAGATTCTGGACTTTGGATGCAATACCAATAATCCCAAGACTCCATGAAGGACACAGGGGCGGGGATAATGCATTCCAATCCCTGTTTCTCATTGAGGCCCACATAGAAGACTACGCCATCATCTTGTCCTGGGAGGAATTTCCAAACATGTAAGGGCTGTTTGCACTGCTTGACTGTCCATACACAAGGCACTGCCATGGGTTCCAGTCAGCACCTGCACTGGGCAGGGTCGGTTGTTGGTTTCCTGGGACTTACATGCAATCTATGTGTGGCTAAGCAAAACCCTGCCCTCTTGGCTGTGAGGACAAACAACTGGGCCAACTCTGCCTTTTTTCTAGGTCAAAGTCCAAGGTGGAATTTTGTCATGCATCACACATCACCAAGTGAAGCAGAGAATGAAGACAAGGCCCAAAGGTGATGGGGTCATAGGAACCAGAAGAATGGCTGCCTTAAGCTCTGGGTTGCAGGCCTGGCAGCCTGAAGATTCATCAGGCTCCATCCTGGGAGTCTCCGCATGTTCCTCTGAACCGCCAGAGTCAATAGACTCCCTTTCGTGCTCCAGGTGATATGATTTCTGATGCCTAAATCCTATAGACCCTCTTGAGAGGGAAGCAACTATTTGGTCACGACCCAACGATGGCAAGTGTTCTCTCACAGTCTATGTCCTCTTCAGTAGTTTCTTTCTGGGCAGAAGAGGATAGCGGTGTGAAGGAATCAGCTCTGTGGTTACATGACAAATGATCTGTAAGCCTAGTTATCTCATGAGTCAGTTATGATGAAATAAGCTGCCACAGTAGCGAGGCCAATGCAGCAAGAAACAGAGGTCTCCTCCAACCACCAGGGGAGTGAGGCCCCTGCCGCACAGTTCACAGCTGCCGGATCCCACAACAGACACGTGAATGGCCATGGAGGCAGGACCTTCCCCAGGCAAGCCTGCAGACAGCATCACAGCCCAGATCCACACGAGATCCCAAGGCAGAACCGTGGGCTGAGCTGTTCCTGGATCCCTGCCCCACACCCCAAACTGTGAGAAAGAAAATGCCCTTTAAGTCAATACATTTGGGGATAACACGGTATGCAGCAGAAGACAGTTAGCACAGGCCTTATTATGCAGGAATGTTCCTTCGGGAAAGGAAGATTTAAATTCTGATTACAGAAGAGTTTCCCATCTGAGGGCTAAAAGTAGACTAGTGTTGGCGTGGGGGCAGGCCTGTCGGTGGTGGGAGGAGCTGGGGAGTAACCTGTACTGGGTTTGGGAGGTAAGAGGTGACCAGGTTGTTCTATAACTGACTTTAGTGATGGTGCAGAGTTACGTGGATGTACCATAAAGTGATAGTCTTCAAATAAGTGACCATGGGAATCATAATCCAATAAAGCCAATGTTTTTAAATTATTACTTTAGTCCTGTCAGGTTTTATTTTTAACTGTTTCCCGACTGGTGTAAAATGAAAGACACGTGTCACAAAACAAAGTCAGTTGTTGGCCCAGGACACCACTAGCGTAAGCATCAACCAGGTGTCGGCTACCTCCAGACCACAGGACCGCAAGTCTTTCTCAGCTGCTGAGACAGGCCTCCATGATCTAAAACCTAGGTCTAAATCCACCAAAACCCAGACAGGATCTGGAGAAGGAAAAGCTCCTTCGCTCTGCTCGGGTCCCAAGCCTCAGCTCTAGCTGCTAGGGACAAGACGAGAGCTAACGTATGACTGTGAGAGCTTCTTAGCCGGGCAGTGGCTATTCCCAGCACAGAGACAGAGGTAGGTGCATCTCTGTGAGTTCGAGGCCAGCCTGGTCTATAGAGTGATATCCAGGACAGGTCCTAAAAAGCTACAGAGAAACCCTGTCTTGAAAAACAAACAAACAGAACAGAATAGAACAAAACAAAAAGAGGTTCTAAAACTGGAGGCAGAGTCCTCATCTGTTCTGACTCCTGTTTGCAATAATGGCAATGCGGTTGCAGTAACTCCCATGCAATAGAAAAGGATCTGATAAAAGTAATCAAACTTAGATCTAATCCTTCTGGACCCCACCAAAGAGAGAGAGAGGACAGTGCCTCAAGAGTCAGGCAGGAGCAATGGGCAGAAGTCTCCGGTCTTAATCTGTCTCTCTAACATCAGAACAGAAGCTAATAAACAATCATTGCTCAGACCAGCTGACAGCTTGCCGTGTTCCAGCTCCACGTGATTTACACAGTCACTCCTTTGATACTTGCTGGAGGGCTAAGGAGGGATGACATTGTGATCTCTGTCTTACACATGAAGGAGACAGCAAGTGAGAGAGCCGGACCAGCCCAAGGCAGGAAGGCTCATGCTGGCATGCCTGCTGGCTGCTGCACTGCACCGCCTTCTGTCCAGCAGGCAAAGCCTTGGTGCATTTCCTCCCACGCAGTTCAGAACATAGGCACGCGATCTCCATCAGAACACAGGCACATGGTCCAAGTCCTGCTTTACCCTCTTGTAAATCCCAGCTTGTAAATCTGTTCCCTCGCTGACAACACCATGGCCATTGTTCTGTGTCGTTTCCAGAACCCAGCATACCCAAGTTCCTGAGACCATTTCCTGAGCTCCCATTATGTTCCGGTCATTGAGCTTAGGGCTCGGGTTTTCGTGGCGGGTATGTGATTATGGAGGATCCCTCTACCCAGAGCTGACAGCATCTTAAAAATTAAACCATTTGCTGAATTATTTCAAGCTACCTCAAGTGCAGCAGAGGAATTGAAGCAAATAGTGTACAAGAGGAACAAAGGGGGCTAGCTTTGGGGCTCCAAAGGCAGCTGTGCAGGGCTGTGCAGCTTAAGTCAATACCATAGGGATGAGAAGGAACCCGAGCAGGAGGGAGGAAGAGGAGCCAACATTCCAGCAGAATTGCTGGTGACTACAGCACCCTGAGGCTGGAAAAGAGGGTTCTGTTTATGCATATATGTGTAGTTTAGGACCCCTTTAGATCCACTTGGATGGCAGCTATCAAAAAGGCAGAAAATTGAAGACGTTACCATGGATCTGAAGGGCAAGAAGCCTCATGCACTGTTTGTGGGAATGTGAACTCGAGCCGCTGGCGTGGAAATGTGTGGCGGGTCTTCAACACGGTAACGCTGGAGTCACCTTCGGATCCAGCAGTCCCACATCTAGATCTGCACCCCCAAAGACGTGGGGTTCAACATATTTTGTGCATCCATGTTCACAGTAGCATTCTTCACATCACCAGAGGCGGCGCAAACCAAGTGTCTGTCAGCAGGTGAGGCA